AATCCCAGTAGATCAGCAGTTTTTGAAATACTCAAACCGGCCAGTCTGGCACCACCAACCATGCCATGTTCAAAGTCCCTTAAATCCCCTTTTTACCCTATTCTGATGCTCGGTTTGAACTTCAGCAAGTCGTCTTCACCACGTCTAAATGCATTGGGTTGCTGCCATGTGATTGGCTGATTAGCAATTTGTGTCACCATGCAACTGAACAGGTCTACCTAATAAAGTGGCTGAGGAGTATATATATATATATGTGTGTGTGTATATATATATATATATATATATATATATATATATATATATATATATATATAGACATACATATATACATATATCTTCTCCCTGTTCCTGCATGGGTTTCCTCCGGGTACTCCGGTTCCTCCCAACCTCCAAAGACATGCAGGTAGGTTAATTGGATCCTGTCTAAATTGTCCCTAGTATATGTATGAATGTGAGTTAGGGACCTTAGATTGTACACTCCTTGAGGGTTAGGGACTGATGTGAATGTACAATATATATATATATATACATGCATGCATACATATATATACAGTTGTGTTCAAAATAATAGCAGTCAGACATCACTAACCGGATCAATCACTGTTTTTAGTAGAAATGATATTTCTACATGGCAAATAATTTACTAGCAGGTGTAGTAGAGTAATAGAAATCCAACAGACCCAACAGTCATGACATGCATGCTGCTGATTCTGTGTCATTGAATCACTAATTGAAAGGGGCATGTTCAAAATAATAGCAGTGTGGAGTTCTATTAGTGAGGTCATTCATTCTTTGAAAAAAAGGTGGCAGTTATTGCCCTTATTTAAGGAAGGAAGGCAGCAAATGTTGTACATGCTGGTTACAGTGCATTTCTCTCTGCAATTCTGAGGAAAATAGGTCGTTCCAGACATTGTTCAGAAGAACAGCGTACCTTGATTAAAAAGTTGATTGGAGAGGGGAAAACATATAAAGAAGTGCAGAAAATGATAGGCTGCTCAGGTAAAATGACCGCAAATGCTTTAAAATGGCAACCAAGACCTGAAAGACGTGGAAGAAAGCGAAAAACTACCATTCGAATGGATAGAAGAATAGCCAAAATGGCAAGGACTCAGCCAACAATCAGCTCCAGGAAGATGAAAGAAGGTGTAAAGTTCCCTGTGAGTACTGTTACAATTAGAAGACGCCTATGTGAAGCCAAGCTATCTGCAAGAAGCCCCCGCAAAGTCCCACTGTTGGAAAAAAGACATGTGCTGAAGAGGTTACAATTTGCCAAAGAGCACATTGACTGGCCTAAAGAGAAATGGCGCAACATTTTGTGGACTGATGAAAGTAAGATTGTTCTTTTTGGGTCTAGTGGCCGGAGACAGTTTGTCAGACGACCCCCAAACACTGAATTCAAGCCACAGTACACTGTGAAGACAGTGAAGCATGGTGGTGCAAGCATCATGATATGGGGATAATGAGCTTGGAGCTCGAAACATGTTAGGGGATCCACCCAGCAGACGCCATTAACCACCAGGGAACCACTGGCCACCAGGGAACCACTGGCCACCAGGGAACCACTGGCCACCAGGGATCCTTGTATAGCTTGGAAAATATTTTGAAGATTTGAGAAATTCCTGAAACTCTAAGTGTGAGTTTTATACTGATTTTAGCTGTTATATCTAAATAAAGACGTACTTCACCATTAGTGCCTTTTGCCTTTTGGCTCGTTATTCACGAGCCGTGCAAGGTGGACCATCCGAGGAGAAGTACCACCAGGAGGCTGGACGCCGTTGGACCCACCGGTGAACCAGATGTGACCCCCGAGTGTTTGCTGAGGCCCCCGAATGTCTATCGTGGATGACCGGTTGCTGTCTTCATTGCTGTCCAGGCCCATTTTCCAGGTGCTGATGGTATACCTGATGACATGCATACAACGCTCAGATTGTATGTTCCTGTGGTAAGCACATTATTGTACTAGATTCTTCGAACTTCTGAAGGTCCTGATATTGGGGTACATTTTATATGTGCTCAATTTATAGGAACATTTGTGCTACATTTATTATACACCAGACTTTTATATTTAAGAGCTTGATATTATGTTCCAGCGATTATTCTGAGACTTTGTGTTTTACATTGCATTATTTATTTTTGGCGCTGCATACCCCAACTATTTATATTTTGATCTAAGGTGCTGAGGACTGCCTTGTTTGCTAGCCGCTGATATTTCATGTTTTGCGCTCGCTTGCCTTATTTTTATTTATGATATGGGGATGTTTCTCATACTACGGTGTTGGGCCTATTTATCGCATACTAGGGATCATGGATCAGTTTGAATACATCAGAATACTTGAAGAGGTCATGCTGCCTTATGCTGAAGAGGAAATGCCCTTGAAATGGGTGTTCCAACAAGACAACGACCCCAAACACACCAGTAAACGTGCAACATCTTGGTTCCAGACCAACAAGATTGGCGTTATGGAGTGGCCAGCCCAATCCCCGGATCTTAATCCAATAGAAAACTTGTGGGGTGACATCAAAAATGCAGTTTCTGAGGCAAAACCCAGAAATAGAGAAGAACTGTGGAATGTAGTCCAATCATCCTGGGCTGGAATACCTGATCACAGGTGCCAGAAGTTGGTTGACTCCATGCAACACAGATGTACAGCAGTTCTCAGAAACAGTGCGACTACAACCAAATATTCATTAAGTGATTCAAAGGAAAGCAAAATCTTCAAACATTTCTCAGTTTATATAGTGAATGTTTGAGTTTGTAAAGAAGAATACAAACACTGCTATTTTTTTGAACAGTCTAATGTTCACTTTTCTTCCATTTTTTTAGAGGAACAACACAAATTTGATCTATATTTCTTCATGTTTTGATTTGGAATAGAAATGTGTCGTGTTCCCAATGCATTTGTGTGTATGGAAATAAAAGCTATTAGAAGGATTTTGAGCTTTATTCACTTTTTTCAACACACTGCTATTATTTTGAACACAACTGTATATATACATACATAGATACAGAGATATATATATATACATACATAGATACAGAGATATATATATACATACATAGATATATATATATATATACACCAGGGGCAGACTGATCATTTGGGAATTCGGGCATTGCCTGAGGGCCCGGGGTCAGTAGGGGGCCCCATGAGATGCCCCTGGTACCTTTCATAGGTTTTTATGGGTGTGGTTTGAGTGTGGGCGAGGACATAGGGGCCCCATGATCCCCTATTGCCCAGGAGCCCCATGAGTTGTCAGTCCACCCTTGATATATACCTGTATATATATATATATTTATTTTTTATTTTATTTACACTTTATTTCTGAAATTTTTACTTTTTTAAATTTTGTGAATTTTAAGAGTCTTACGTAAAATAGGTAAAAGGTAATATAAGCACCCTGAAAAACACATATAGGTTGTAAACCCTTCCATATAGTCAGTGAAGTGACTGGCCTCAGGTGATACACAGATATGATACAAATCCTCCTACATAAGTTGTACCTGTTTATCTGCAGTTTTTCGTCTCTACATCTGTTAACCCCCGGTTCACATCTACCATGCGGGCCGTGTTTTGCACGGGCACTAGAACCCATTCATTTGAATGGACTCCCGTGACATGTAGGGAAAGAAGTCTCAGCACTTCTTTGGAAAACGCAGCCCGCACGGTAACCTCAGTTCCCAGTACAGTTGCGTTTTCTAGTGCGGGCAACGTGCCATTAGAACTAATGGCACCCGCCCGCGGGTCAGCATTTCTCTGTGCGGGTGCACAGATTTTCGTGCGGATCTGCAGCGGCACCACCCGCACAGATGTGAACCGGGGGTAAAAGGCCAGAAGCTTGTCTGGGCAAACAAAAAACAAAAAAAAAACAGTACTGCAAGGCCACTGTGCTGCCCATGGTTAGCATTAATAGAAGGAAAGAGAACACAATGTAAAAAACTGGCAGGATCCACTGATATTTACACTTTATAATGCAGCATGCAGAATTGAAAAACACACATTTTTTAGCTCAAAGTGCTCCTGAGAATTTTTTGGAATATTTGTGATTTAGGAGCGCTGAACTTTACGGTGATGCATTATAACACAATGGGTGGTTTATGGCCCTAGAGACTGCTCACCAGCAACTGTGGGGTCTTGCTGGACCCCAAAGGAGTTTATTGAAGTTCTGAAAGGAAGGGAGTGCCACACCAGCTTTTAAAGACCCTTTCAAAGATTGTTATTTTGTAACAGCCAACGCTTTTCGGGGGCTCAGTACTCCCTCTTCATCAGGGCTAAAAACCAGATAATGGAGAAACCTGTATTGGAGTTTTCAGGAATTTTTTGGAGGAAACATATTTTAGGTTTACATACACTTTAAGGGATCATGCACCCGAGCTTAAAAAAAATAGCAGTTTTATGGACATTTAGTGGGTTTTTTGTCTGTAAACACAGCTCTGTGTTAGTCTATGTGGCCATGCACATTATTCATTTAGAAATGTATTTCAAGAGTATCTTTTGCAGGCATTAAAAAAAAAGTGCGTTCTGAGAAGTGCTTAATAGCATAATTTATGCATGTAAAGGCACATAAATCCATGTGTATGGCCATTTACTGATGTTATTACACATGTTTTCTAGGAGAAAAGGTGATGCGTAATGATTAGTAAAATACTTGTGTATAGATGCGTTTAAATGCGTAAAGACGTATATGAGTACATCATTTATTGTTACGATATCTTCTTTTTCTCCTTTGTTTAGAGTTACCGTATTTTTCGCACAAAGAATGGGGGGAAATGTCTGTGCGTTTTACGGAGCAAATATTGACCAGGCCCCCCCCCCCTTCCCCCGTCATCGCCGCCATGTTAGAATACCGGGCTGGCCACTCGACTGTTCTGTGGCAGAAGAGAGGCGGAGTCAGAGTCAGCAGTGCAGCAGCGCCAAGCAGGGCCCAAATCAGCTGCCCCTTAAGCCTGTATGCTCGGGGGGGCGAACTGCTAGTAGAATCTGAGACGTGATTGGGAGCCCCACCCTCAGAGAGGATGTAGTGCTCGGCTGACCAGGTATGTCCTCCCCCCCAGGTATGTCCCCCCCATGTATGTCCTCCCCCCCAGGTATGTCTCCCCCCAGGTATGTCCCCCCTCCACTGCCTGTGGACTGCTATACCAAACTGTATATATGTGCATTGCTGAAAGGTCTCTCTTCATCTCCTGTACTGTGTCCACAGTCTCTGGTCATCTCCTGTACTGTGTCCGCAGTCTCTGGTCATCTCCTGTACTGTGTCCACAGTCTCTGGTCATCTCCTGTACTGTGTCCGCAGTCTCTGGTCATCTCCTGTACTGTGTCCGCAGTCTCTGGTCATCTCCTGTACTGTGTCCGCAGTCTGTGGTCATCTCCTGTACTGTGTCCGCAGTCTCTGGTCATCTCCTGTACTGTGTCCGCAGTCTCTGGTCATCTCCTGTACTGTGTCCGCAGTCTCTGGTCATCTCCTGTACTGTGTCCGCAGTCTCTGGTCATCTCCTGTACTGTGTCCGCAGTCTCTGGTCATCTCCTGTACTGTGTCCGCAGTCTCTGGTCATCTCCTGTACTGTGTCCGCAGTCTCTGGTCATCTCCTGTACTGTGTCCGCAGTCTCTGGTCATCTCCTGTACTGTGTCCGCAGTCTGTGGTCATCTCCTGTACTGTGTCCGCAGTCTCTGTTCATCTCCTGTACTATGTCTGCAGTCTCTGTTCATCTCCTGTACTATGTCTGCAGTCTCTGTTCATCTCCTGTACTATGTCCGCAGTCTCTGGTCATATCCTGTACTGTGTCTGCAGTCTGTGGTCATCTCCTGTACTGTGTCCGCAGTCTGTGGTCATCTCCTGTACTGTGTTCGCAGTCTGTGGTCATCTCCTGTACTGTGTTCGCAGTCTGTGGTCATCTCCTGTACTATGTCCGCAGTCTCTGGTCATCTCCTGTACTGTGTCCGCAGTCTCTGGTCATCTCCTGTACTATGTCCGCAGTCTCTGGTCATCTCCTGTACTGTATCTGCAGTCTCTGGTCGTCTCCTGTACTATGTCCGCAGTCTCTGGTCATCTCCTGTACTATGTCCGCAGTCTCTGGTCATCTCCTGTACTATGTCTGCAGTCTCTGGTCATCTCCTGTAGTACATCCACAGTCTCTGGTTATCTCCTGTAGTATATCCACAGTCTCTGGTCATCTCCTGTAGTACATTTGCAGTCTCTAGTCATCTCCTGTAGGATGTCTGCAGACTCTGGTTATCTTCTATTGTACATCAACAGTCTCTGATCATCTCCTGTAGTACATCCGCAGTCTCTGGCCATCTACTGTAGTACATGCGCAGTCTCTGGTCATTTCCTGTATTATGTCCGCAATCTCTGGTCATCTCCTGTAATTCATCCACAGTCTCTGGTCATCTCCTGTAATTCATCCACATTCTCTGGTCATCTCCCGTAGTACATACACATTCTCTGGTCATCTCCTGAAATACATCCGCAGACACTGGTCATCTTCTGTAGTAAATCCACATTCTCTGGTCATCTCCTGTAGTACATATGCAGTCTCTAGTCATCTCCTGTAGTATGCCCACAGCCTCTGGTTATCTTTTATAGTACATCCACAGTCTCTGATAATCTCCTGCAGTATGTCTGCAGACTCTGGTCATCTCCTGGTTCAGAATATTTTTTTTCTTGTTTTCCTCCTCTAAAACCTAGGTGCGTCTTATGGAGTGAAAAATACGGTAAGATAGTCATTAACAACTCCATATACATGCATTTATACACATAAGCACATAAAGCACCTGTTCTTAGAAACAGATTTTTGGATTCGATGTTATAGATCCAAATGCAGCTCATGTTTATACACCTGAGTGAATGGCTCCATTGAAAACAACGCAGTTGTGTTCAGATCCAATATGAATATGCATGCTTGGATATTCTTTGTGTTTTTACAGACCTGTGCATGAGGCTTAACGTTTGTCTAATACTGATTATTATCTTTTGTGCATTCCATATTATTTTTGGTTTTATTTGTAGACTTCTTTATGTTTGAAAGAAATAAAGTATGACTTTTTTTTATCTTTTGAAAGTCATAGCAGCAATGTAAATGTAAAGTGAATCTCTACCTCAAACTTGTTATGGAAGGTTTAGAACCCCTGTCATGTTTTTATTGTTTTGGTGATTATTGTCTTCAAGTCAATTCTCTTCCTCCTTGCAAGTCAAAGTCCTTTCATCTTCTGGGCAGTAATCTCTGTGCTGGCCCAGCTCCCCCGCCCCTCCCTTTCCTTATAACCATTTATATAGCTACCGGGGAGGAGCAAAGGGAAATACTATAGAGTTTAACTCGAGTGGTAGCTCTGAGTCTGCTGGGGCTGCTGACATGACATCTAAGATGACGGTACCTAGCAGCAGTCTCAGGACTTTCGGATGTCTACACAGAGGAGGATATTACAGGAAAATAACATGTATAAAATATGTAAAGTTGTGTTCAAAATAATAGCAGTGTGTTGAAAAAAGTGAATAAAGCTCAAAATCCTTCTAATAGTTTTTATTTCCATCCACACAAATGCATTGGGAACACGACACATTCTATTCCAAATCAAAACATGAAGAAATATAGATCAAATTTATGTTGTTCCTCTAAAAAAATTGAAGAAAAGTGAATATTAGACTGTTCAAAAAAATCGCAGTGTTTGTATTCTTCTTTACAGACTCAAACATTCACTATATAAACTGAAAAATGTTTGAAGATTTTGCTTTCCTTTGAATCACTTAATGAATATTTGGTTGTAGTCGCACTGTTTCTGAGAACTGCTGTACATCTGTGTTGCATGGAGTCACCCAACTTCTGGCCCCTGTGATCAGGTATTCCAGCCCAGGATGATTGGACTACATTCCACAGTTCTTCTCTATTTCTTGGTTTTGCCTCAGAAACTGCATTTTTTATGTCACCCCACAAGTTTTCTATTGGATTAAGATCCGGGGATTGGGTTGGCCACTTCATAACATCAATCTTGTTGGTCTGGAACCAAGATGTTGCACGTTTACTGGTGTGTTTGGGGTCGTTGTCTTGTTGGAACACCCATTTCAAGGGCATTTCCTCTTCAGCATAAGGCAGCATGACCTCTTCAAGTATTCTGATGTATTCAAACTGATCCATGATCCCTGGTATATGATAAATAGGTCCAACACCGTAGTATGAGAAACATCCCCATATCATGATGCTTGCACCACCATGCTTCACTGTCTTCACAGTGTACTGTGGCTTGAATTCAGTGTTTGGGGGTTGTCTGATAACTGTCTCCGGCCACTAGACCCAAAAAGAACAATCTTACTTTCATCAGTCCACAAAATGTTGCGCCATTTCTCTTTAGGCCAGTCAATGTGCTCTTTGGCAAATTGTAACCTCTTCAGCACGTCTTTTTTTCAACAGTGGGACTTTGCGGGGGCTTCTTGCAGATAGCTTGGCTTCACATAGGCGTCTTCTAATTGTAACAGTCCTCACAGGGAACTTTACACCTTCTTTCATCTTCCTAGAGCTGATTGTTGGCTGAGCCCTTGCCATTTCGGCTATCCTTCTATCCATTGGAATGGTAGTTTTTCGCTTTCTTCCACGTCTTTCAGGTTTTGGTTGCCATTTTAAAGCATTTGCGATCATTTTAGCTGAGCAGCCTATCATTTTCCCCTCTCCAATCAACTTTTTAATCAAGGTACGCTGTTCTTCTGAACAATGTCTGGAATGACCCATTTTCCTCAGAATTTCAGAGAGAAATGCACTGTAACCAGCATGTACAACATTTGCTGCCTTCCTTCCTTAAATAAGGGCAATAATTGCCACCTGTTCTTCAAAGAATGAATGACCTCACTAATAGAACTCCACACTGCTATTATTTTGAACATGCCCCTTTCAATGAGTGATTCAATTACACAGAATCAGCAGCATGCATGTCATGCCTGTTGGGTTTGTTGGATTTCTATTACTCTACTACACGTGTTAGTAAATTATTTGCCATGTAGAAATATCATTTCTACCAAAAACAGTGATTGATCCGGTTAGTGATGTCTGACTGCTACTATTTTGAACACAACTGTACATTTAACCAGTATCTGGATTATGCAGAGCCTGAAATGTATTTCTGTAAAATTGCCTGCCTGCAGTTGCAGAATTGCTCCGGTTCGTATCTGTACGCCTAAGTTGTCGGCGGGTCTGCACTATCTGGAGAGCCACAGATCACTGGATTTAGACCTGTACAGTGTCCGCACTTGTCTGCCATCACTATATCCCGCCTTGAGTCTTTTCCATCCACTACCTGGCTCACCAGAGCATACAGCCCTGCATAGTGATCAGGTCTTCCTGCCGCTCAAGTCTGTTTAAGGGATATCGACAGACTGCTGTATCAGTGGGATCACCATTCACCAGAACACAAGAGGAAGCCACCTGGAATCATCTTGCCAAATAGGGGCTACTCCAACAATAAAACCTGTTGCTGCAGATCTGAGGGAGCTGGTGAGTGGGTCATTGGCCCATTACTGTCCTATTTTCTGACATTGAACAGATTCTTTGTGAAGCTTGATCATCTTTTGCCTTTCCTAAGTTTTGCATTTGCCCACTAGCAAGTGCTGCTAGTCCTATTTGGCCTGAGCCTATATCACAAAACTTTGTTCAATTACCTGGCCCGTCCCACTCCAGTGTCCTAAGGAACCCATTATTTTCCTAAAAATATCTTGCTAGGTGCACGACTATCCAATGTCAATAACTGCACCAACGTCTTCAAGAGCCCCAACGTAGCCGGAAGAAGACCAACTGTGAGGACTGTACATACAGTAGTTCACTTACTGTTGAGGTCAGTTACCATTACATTTCAATCTTCTTTTACGTATGGCCTAGGCTTAGCTCCCTCAATGAGCTTCATCATGAACAGTTTATGCTGGTTAGATTTGAGTTTACTGTAGTACCTTAATTATCTCAAGAAACCATCAGTGTATCATGTATGTTGTTGCTATCCTATCTAGGAATTATTTTACAATATACTCTATTTGCTACAAAGTCTCAAGTCTAATTTTAGAGTGACTCTAATTTATTGAAAAAATCACTACGCTTTCTCCGGTAAAGTGAGGCAGACTTTTTTTTGCTCAGGGTGTCCAGGTACACTGGTGTGCCTTCAGGTTTCCTCAGTGTGTCTTGGCAAAATACTTACAAATTGCCCCAAAATTGTTCACTGAGTGGATCAATCCAGTAATGCCCGTAGTGTAAAAGAAAGGAAAGAAGTAGCGCGGGGCAGGCATGACTAGACCTAGAGTGGGAAGGAAGATTAGAAAGGGTTAAGTTAGTGCCAGGGGGTTTGAAAATATAGTGGGGAGCTGGTTGGTAGAGAGAGAGCATGGGTGGTCTCTTTGGCACCTTTGGGTGGGGTGTCCTGGGGTGGGGGCAGTCATTCGGAGCTGGACGCTGGTGAGTGAGCTTCCCTCCCGCCCGCTCTATTTAGTGAGTCTTGGGTTCCTATGAGGGGTATGGGGGTTGTTCGGTTCATGGGCGGTTGTTGGTCTTTGGAGTCGGGTATTATCTTGGAGGTACAGAGAATGGTGTGGGACCCATCGGTGGTATGGTGTGCCCGGG